CCCCCCCCCCGACTTAAATAACGACTGGTCCCTTATATTCCTTCTATCGTGTTTTCCAGGTGCAATGATTCTTGTCTCTATATATATGACCGTGCTAGTGACAAGAGAACGTTGAGGGTAAGGAGTGTGTACTAAACTATGCAGTCAACATATATTTCTCACTACCTACACTAGCATCATTATTACTGCTGCCACAACTAACAACACTACCACTACCATGACAGCAGCATCACCAACACCACCACCAACAACAACGGCATGAACACCACCAACACCACAGTCAACAACAACAACGGCATGAACACCACCACCACCACCAACAACAACGGCATGAACACCATCAACACCAACACCACCATCAACAACAACAGCGGCATGAACACCACCAACAACAACAACGGCATGAACACCACCACCATGACAGCAGCATCACCAACACCACCACCAACAACAACGGCATCAACACCACTAACAACAACAACAACGGCATCACCACCAACAACAACACTACGACCACAACTGCACCATCATCACCACCACGAACGACAGGAACAGCAACAATACCAACACCAACAATAACGGTACCAACACCTCCAACGACAACACTACGACCACAACAGCACCATCATCACCACCACGAGCGACAGCGACAGCAATAGCAACAACACTACCGTAAATATGAATAACCACAACCAACACCAACCACTGCACTCCACTATAAACTCATACCTGCCACAATAATTATACCCTTCAATATGTCGGTTTACTTTCCTTGCCTTGTCAGATAAGCGGTCATGATCGTGATTATGACGTCAATGCCATCGCCTTCGCTGATGCCAGTTCACAGATTCTGTTCAGTGCTGGTGATGATGGTTTGTGCAAGGTAATGTGCTGAAATAACTGTTGGAGTTTTCTTGCAGGAGAAAGTGGGCTCGAATAGTGGCATTCCATATAGTGACTCTCCATCCACTGAGAATCTATGGAATTTATAACGGGTGATTTTGAGATCAGAGCAACAAAAACCCTCGAAGCACAGGAGTAARCCAACCTGCTCACATAATTGCGAGCCCGCGGATCGAACCCATGATCACAGCGGTGAGAGACAGAACATCAACTCGTTTGACATACGTCAATGGAGAGCGTTCTCTTCGCTACGCCAACCGTGTGACTGTTCGTAGAAAACAGCACGGTACAGCATGTCGAAATAATTATTGTTTCATGATTCTGCTCCATTTACAAGTGCACATACTATAATCTAGTGTTACGGATATTTAAGTATGACTATGATTTTAAATTCCTTTTCTCCACTTGTGCTATATCTATTTACAGGTGTGGGATCGTCGTACGCTGAATGAGTCAAACCCTTCCCCTGTGGGGGTCTTTGCGGGCCATTCTGATGGCATCACGTTTATTAGTTCAAAGGTATTGCTTTGAAATGAGTACACTTGAATCATATACCATATACAATACATACACAGTAGAATACAGAGATCACAGATCAGAGGACACCATAGGATCATAGATCATCGGCTCAACACCTACCTGCCTGCCTGCCTGCCTATACCCTCCTTACCCCCTCCCTCCCTTCCTCCCTCCCTTCCTCCCCTACTACCAACCTACCCAACTACTAACTTACCCCAACCTTCTAACTTACCCCCATGCACCCACCCGCCCACCTACTTATCTACCTACCTACCTATACATGTCACAGTATAGCCCATAGACCAGTGGACATTTTTTTCATACGGTGTTTTTTTCTGTTAATTAAAGAACGACACGCGACATTTAATCACGAATTGTAAAGACCAAACCATCAAGCTGTGGGATCTGAGGAAGTTCTCCAGCCAAGAAGGGATCGATGTAAGTGACGAACTTATAATGTAATACTTTTAGATATTTTAAGTAATATGACTTTTAAGTTCGTAAAAGAACTTAAGGTCTTGAAATTTGAAGTCCGTCATTCAGAACTTATAGTTTATTTCTTAAAGCTGTCTTCCTTTTTCGTTGCACATTCTTCCATTATACCTTATGTAAGTTGTTTTTTAAAAGGGGTGATTTAATTGCTTTTTGTTTCTTGTTCTTCAGCAAACTAAACATGTGGTCGGGGCTCAGCGCTGGGATTATCGGTGGCAAAACGTGCCAAGGAAAAGTAAGTATGATGTGTCACAGACTCTAGTCCTCATTCAAAGTAAGGAGACATTTGATTGATTAACTGATCGACCGACCGACTGAACTACAAATGAACCTACCAACTGACTTACTAACAAACCTACCAACCGACTGGTCGACTGACTGACCGACCGATCGACCGACAGACGATCGACAGACCGACCGACTGACCTACAAATGAACCTACCAACTGACTTACTAACAAACCTACCAACCGAAAGACTGGTCGAATGACTGACCAACCGATCGACCGACAGACCGATCGACTGACCGACCAACTGACTGACTGGCTGACTGATCCACTCACTTACCCACTGACTGATTGACTGATTGATTGTTTGGTTTTATCGTAGACCTTCGTCGCAAGTCATTGCCTGGGGATTCGTCGATAATGTCGTATCGGGGTCATAACGTGCGCAATACATTAATCAGATGTTACTTTTCCCCTACTCACACCACTGGTCAGGTGAGATTGTACTATTCATGACGCCGTATCGATGTCTAGTGCGCTGCTAGACGAGAGTATGGGTGTTCATGTATCATAGTTGCATCAATGTAGTTTTCACTTCAAAACGAGTAGAAGCTGATGGTGCTCCATCACCTGCGCAATTGCAGTTGAAAAATAAACAATGCTTTCTTGGAGTTGTGTGCATACGTAGTATCACGTAAACTATAGGGGGGTCTAAATGGGGCCCATGGAAGAGCACTTCACAGTGAATAGGCCACATAGCAGTGACTGCGGAACAAGACGCGCGTATTCTAAATTTCATGTCAAATTGGAAATAGTTAAAAGAAAGGAATTATTGTCAGAATTATTTAACGAGAATTGGTGTATTGAAGGTTTGCTAACATCTTTGCTTCTTCTCGTGCTAATACAAGGGTTTTGCTTTTGTTTTGCAGCGTTACATTTACACTGGATGTTCATCTGGAAGTGTTGTCAGTAAGTTAAGATATTCAATTCTCTTGGCACAACCTTTGAGAATTCGCCACTGATTTATTATACTTTATTTAGCTCCTTTCGCACGTAGTTTGCATAATTCGTACTCAAAACACAAGTGAACGAGTGCGCTTGTTCGTTCGTTCATTCGTTCGTTTATTAGTTCGAGCGTCCGTTCGTTCGTTCGTTCGTTCGTTTCGTTTCGTCGAAGCACATAGGATTTATTTTGTATCATGTTTATTCTTACCTGTTTTAAGAAAACCTGCGCAATCTTGCTTGATTTTCGTCGTTAACAAATCTTTCTACTAATCTTGCTACAGTATATGATATCTTGACGGGTAAAATGGTGTCAAAGCTACGAGGACACATATCCTTTGATGAAAATAGCTTTTAAGGGATGTTTGATACTAAAGGGTCTTGTTGGTAAGTGGTGTATTTGACCATAGGTATGGCTGGGTGGCACAGGAATGCTTGATAATTGATAAATTGTTTGGTAAAAAAAACAAATTTTATCCATATATACCCTGAAACAACCTCTGGGCCAATCTAAGTCAGGGCACAGCTAATTCGAAACCCCGAATCAATAGAGAAACCTAACAAACTCTACTCACGCGTGATTCCTATTCGAGGATCGAACCAGAGTCCCCTGAGGTGAGAGACGAATGCGCTATCGTCACGCGGTCAGTATTGAGTGCATATGCTTGTTTTTATGCGTGGACAGTATTGGATGTTTTTAAATGAATGATGTTGCATATTATTCTTTAACTCTTGTTCACGATGCCTGTGTTCGGGATGTTTCATGGCATCCATACGAAAACAAGATCGTCAGTTCTTCCGTAAGTATATCATGTCCAGTATTTAAAACTCTTGATTTAGGGATACGTGAGAAAAATAACGATCAGAGAAAAAGATAAAATAAAGAGAGGGGGACGATATTATAACAAAGTAAATCGTCCTTGTTTTGCGGGAAGCCTTAATTTATGTGTCGATTGAGGGGCGTAGCAAGGTCTTGGCTATAGGGATGCAATGTACCATTTTCCCGCCAAATCCACAGGAATCCCGCATGATTTAATTTTTACTTCAGTTCGTTCCCACCTCCCTATAGCTACGCTAGTGTGTCGATTTTTGCGGACAGAAGAAAACCAGATAATCTGGAGAAGAAAAGAATAAACAGGCTCATGATGGCAGACCCGAGGGTTGAACCTACGAGCGCAGTGGTGAGATGCAGTGCACTTAGCAAGTCACACTGCTATCTTTTTACAGGGAGGCTACCGAGCAGATATACTGATCTAAGTCATTTCCATGAAACTTACAAAAATATTTCAATGATATTTCCAATATCCCTTTGGGACTCCCAACATATTTTCAACACGCATTCGTCCGAACCGTGCATGTACCACAATCATCTGTTCTAACAGGTTTGTTTGATTTATATTCATAGTGGGACGGAAAGGTTGGTCTGTGGCAGTACGAGAGAGAGATTGAAGAGCTGGAGCTGGAGGAGACGGGGCTAAACACTGCGCTGTAAACCAACCAAATCGAATAAAATCACGTGAAATCAGCCATCTTGAATGACAACCAAGGTGCCTGTCCTCCAATATGGCTGCCATTGTGTGTTCAGCAGTACTTGAAAGGAGGATACGGTCTGAAACAATATCCTAATTCAAAACCTAGCTTTGAGTACCTCACTGTCCAAGCATTTCGTTATTGCTCTCTAACTAGTAATCCGTGACGGTCTTCCTGTGTTTCCTTAGGACGTTACTCAAATTTCCTGGGATCGGGACTATGTACACAGGAACCCCAAGGGAAGAACAAATGCGATAATTTTAAAGGTAAATTAAAAAAAGTTTGATAAAACGGTTTTTATAGATAATTAAATCAAAATGCCCAATCAAGGACAACATCTTTTCAATTGAAAGAATATATATGCAAACGTTAACTAGGGTCCTCAAGGCCTGGGCATTCGTAATTGCGAAGAGTTGATTCTTTTTTTGGAAAAGTTTTTTCTGTATCTAGATGGCAAACTTGATTCATACATATTTTATCGGGTCCCACTTCAACTTTATAACCATTGTTCGAGGTTATGACTCGTGAGTATATTAAGCATGTAAATAAAGTAATGATATGTACCTTCAAAAACAAGAATGAATAAGCAATAAAAGAAAATGAAATATATTTTTTTCACGAAAGGTGTAAATCTCGAAGTTATTGCCTGTGGTGCGATGCCTTGCCAAGGACAACATGGCGGCTATGACGTTACATGCACCGGCCTTGTACCCATCCCAGAGCATACCTCCTCTACCTCCTCTTCTTGTCAAATATTTCTTTGCATAGAATCCTCTGGAAAAATTAATTCATAATACGTCCCTACACCTCTCTTACCGATAACTGGGCTACTGAGTTGGGTTCTATACTCTTCCTTGCACTTCTCAACCAAAAATGCTTTTGTACTATTTTTGGTAAAACAGTCATTTTCCTGGAGATCGACCTTCARTAACCTTTACTTGCCTTAAGACTTATAGTACACCTTGGACACACCCACACCTCATACCTGTCACCGAGCTGGTTGGGTCTAGCGCCTACCTCCGACAATTCTCGTCCAAAAATAATTTTGGATTATTTATGGTGACATATAGTAATATTGTGCTGGAAGTTGACCTTCATTAACCCTTAATTTTTAAACTTGTGGTCATAATATCCTGTAATTCGATAGATCTTTTCGTTATAAGGATGTAGCCAAAACACTAGCTACTTAAAGTGTAGGTTTAGATGCACGAACGATTATTTTCTTGTATAATAGATTTGCCATCCTAGAAATATGATAAGGCTAAAGATAAAGATAACTAACCGCTTTTAATTGCCATTTGAGCATCGAACTTTGCTGCTATAAGCATGACATTAAACTTCATTGAACTATACCGAGTAAGAAGTGCGTGACACCGCATGAAAAAATATTTTAAAAGCTTAAATAAAACGAAAACGTGCATTAACAAGAATAACTAAACTTGGGCAAACCTGCAATGAAACTTCAAGAAACTGTCAAACGATGTATAGATTTAATTTTAGTAACAGACTCAAGACAGGAAAAGACTTATATGGATATCGACCAGTCTGTCTGTCGAAAACTCACGAGTACTATGACAATATTATGGGCGTCTTCAGGGAAGACCTCGAGTGACCCTTCCATATACCAACCTTGAACGACCTTCAGAATTCTGTGAAACCCAATATTTTTATCGTAAAAAGATTTTTTTCGTTTTGACGACACGAAAGCTTCTTTTTTAGCAAGAACGATTTGGATAATAAACTGAGACGTAAACTTGAAAATGTAAGTAATACAGTAAACTTACTGTCTATCTTGGAATGGCAACATCAAAAATCTTGTCAAACTTTTTTTTTCAGAATAATTTTTTTTGAATTTATTTCTTTTAGTTACGGTCTTAGGTAAAGATCTTATGTAAGCACAGGTAAGTAAAAATTGATTGTTATATTATTATTGTTATTTTGGGGTGTTTTATTGTGCCATGATGTAAATAAGCGATGACGTGTSACGTGTCCCGATTCGTCTTTTAGTCGTCGTGTTCACTTCGAGTCACATGACATACGCAATGCAAAATCAACGTCTCGTATGGTCCAGTAGTTTAGAGCACATTTTCATCAACTTTTTTGTGCCAGGAGGGTCCAAAGTGCAGGTTTTTATAACTCTGTACAGTGCAGAAGACTTACGTATTGCTTTGATTGCTTGTGATTAGATTAAAGTCCAGTTTATCGCGTGGAAACGCTGTCAATGAGTGTAAACTTGGAGAATGGGATCAAGCAAGAGAGTGGAGGTACGTAAGCTTAAATGGTAGATGTCGAGAAGTTTTCCATCAGTTGTGTGTTGTTCTTTGAACTGTCAAGACTTATCAGCCTCTAGATATATTCACCCGACATCTGTGTACTGAGCTAGGATGTTTTTTGTTTCAGTTGATGAAGGAGAGGGCAATGGATTGTGTTTGATATGTGGGGATAAGGCTACAGGAAAGCACTACGGTGCCTCGAGTTGTGATGGTTGCAAGGGTTTCTTTCGTCGAAGTGTGCGGAAAAACCACGTTTACTCCTGCCGATTTCAAAGACTTTGTGTTATAGACAAGGACAAGAGGAATCAATGTCGGTTCTGTCGACTCAAGAAATGTTTTCGAGCAGGAATGAAAAAAGAAGGTAAAATATGAGCTTTTAAATAGTTAAAGATATAAATATCGTGACCGAAATATACAATGTGAAAATTATATACAAACAATATTCTTAATAAAGCCTTTCTTTTTCTGAATATTTCATATCCAGCTGCTAAAATCCTAGCAGTATTATGTTTATTTTTAAACAGGATAAAAAGTAAGCTTATGATAATTTATTTTCAATCTAAAGAGAGTTTTCTCATTGTTTGGATTATGTGTGTGCCACGATAACTTTTGTTGTGCAATAATATCGTCTTGTAAATACATAATTTTCAGCACTTTTGGATTCGAAAAGACATATTCTACTATTCTTGCCAATGGAAATAATATCTATCTTAAAGTGTTKAAATGTTATAAGAGTTTGTCAAGTTTCTATTCAAAGATATCCACGCTAATATTGATATTCTTTAGATTTTGATATCAATAATTATCTATTTAAAAAACATAATACAAAGTCGTTTGTGTTTTGAAAATAGTGATTTGTGTAAGATATTGATTGTAAGAAATTTTACCAAGCGTCTCTAAATTTTAGAAAGCTGTTTTGTTTTTGTTAGGCTATCATTTGTGGTTCTGAAGCATGCATGAATGCATTCATAATGACCCTAGTGAGAGCTGCACACTTGGAGTAAAGCTATTTTGCATAAACTATATTACTATTTTATTACGTTCATTTAGGCCCAAGGCAATATTGAATCATAACAATTGATAATTACTTTAAGAAACCTAAACTGGCATTATGGAAAGTTGAAATAAAGTTCATATATCTATCTGTGTCTCAAAAACGTATTAAACATATTTGGACATGAGTCTAGTAATTTTAAATGAAATCTTTAACTGGTATCCTACTATTTTTTTTCAATTTATATACTCTATATTTTTGTGTTACCAGTTCCTTAGCCTGTACGCTTTTGATTGACAGCTCAAAAGTCACACTTCACACTTCGATAAATTTATATAAACAGTGAAAAATTACAGTACATGTTGTAATCCACATTCTACTACATGCATTATGAATGAAGTTTTGCAGATGGCATATTGCTATTATATAYATATTAAGACGCTCCTTTAATTACTATTCCGGCATGAAAGATACTTCAAGGCAATCTCTCTGAYGCCATTGTTTACATTTTGCTTCATAGGCATAAGCAAACAAAAGATTTTTTTGTTAGTATTTTTGTACCAAATAAAATAATGCTTGTTGGCGAATTTGTTTATACCACATCTACAAAGCAATCATGGTACCCACGTACGACAACATTCCCAAAATGATAATATTTTAGGAAAATATTTATTGATATTTCTAATGACTAGTTTTGCCCTCGCTGGCACAGTCATGAATATTTGGCTTATTCAAGAGTAAGCATTTTTGTTTATATGATACATCAAGTGTATGATGTCTATATTTACTTCTTATCTTTTGAACAATAGTAAAAGGTTTGCCAAGAGGAATGTTGCTCCGAGGTTATTGTCAATAGAATAAATATTGATAAGGTGTGATATTATTTCAGCTGTGCCTTTACTTTGCATGCCAATAGTGCTTTTTTGTATGAATGAGAAAATAATGATAAAGGAAATTCAGAGCTGTAATGTAGCATTACTGTAGCATACCTTAACCAAATTGAATGTAAAGGCATTTCAATGTTATTACCAGTCATACCATGTACGTGCTGTAAGTCAGTACCATGTGTTTGGCACTAACACCAAAAACCCTTATTTCTCCATAACTTCATTTGATAATCTGGTAACTATAACTAATGACAAAAGTAAGTTTGTGTATTAAAATAAACAAAATGTTTGAGTTGAGCATGCTTTTGTCCTCTGATAGAAACATATGCTAAATATGATGTAAGTGCTCTGTCCTCTGATAGAGACATGCTAAATACAATGTAAGTGCTACTACTGTAAATAGACCTCTTTAGCTTCCTATGCAAATCACCAATTTCAGATCACATGACATTCCCTTGAGAATTGTTCTTTTATGATGAACATGTTTGTGAAGAAAAAATAAATAAGATATAGCAGTGGTATTGCCACAGAGTGGCTCTTCATTCACTAACATAAGCCAGTTCATAGTTTAAGAATTTCTTTCAGTGCGCATCTGATTTTATCCCAAATTTCTCTTCTTCTTTTGTCTAAACCTTTTTTTGTTCATAATTAAACAAAAGAATATGCATGTGCAGTGGAATCGATCCTTAAACTATGAACTTGCTTATTCCAAGTTGGTTTTTGCAGAGGTAGGAAAAATATTTACACATCAAAGAATCAACTTCCAAGAGTGGCATTTCATGGTCTGAAATGTGCAYGACAAACAATGACACTAAATAGGTCTATTGCAAAGGAAAGAGAAATGTTGAACAATTGTAGAAGATTTTTTTTCATTCTCTTTTCTTCTTTTTCCCAGCTGTACAAAATGAGAGAGATTCCATTTCTAAAAAACCTAAAGAAGAGGAAAAGAAATATGGCATCACTACACAAACACTGTTGTCAGCAGAAATCCTGTCCAGACCAGCAACATCTCCTCCAGGTTTGTTTATTTTATGGACAATTATTATAATCTTAGATTTCATTTACAGCACTAGTTGGGGTTTAATAACATTGGCATGGAACTCTTTACCCTAGCATATCTAAGACTTACCTTTTCCGTCTCCATCTTACTTGTGAACACTAGCATTTTACCTACATATAGTTCATTTATTTTTTCTTAGTTTTGTCGTTTTTTAGATTTTGTAAGCGCATTGAGATTTTTAAATGCACTCATCAAGCACGTCCTATTATTGTTATTAATTAGCCAACCATAATCACAATAATTATTGCCAAGTTTCTTTCTTTGATCAGCGAATAAATCTCTGGTTGGCACAGTAAAGACTATTATTCTTTGTTTGCACATGACTTCATAGCTGTCATCTTGGTTGAATTTAGCAAAAGGCCTGTCAATGAATTCTTTTGTTATATCAGCCAACATGGCCGCCTTGTCTGTTGTTATTTGACTTCCTTGGGAATGATTGAAAATTAGCAATAAATTATAGCTTACATCACAGCCACTAGCACTATAATGGGGGTGTTGTATTAATGGTGACAATATTGTGTAGTATTTTATGAACATTGGTGCATTGTTGGTTGCAGAATTATGAATATTACTGGCATTTTTATAGTAATAATAATAAATCTTTATTAGGGTTATTTAACACCTACAAATTTATCCTGAAAGAAGATAATGACTTAAGTCTTCTATTTCTAGATTCYATTAGCTTAGAAAGAGAAGCAAATTACCACGATATCTGTGAATCTATGCGACAACAACTTCTCATCTTAGTCGACTGGGCCAAACACTTGCCTTGTTTTTGTGAGCTTGAACTTGATGACCAAGTTGCTTTGCTACGGGCTCATGCTATGGAACATTTAGTCCTGGGAGTCTCTCGAAGATCTCTTGGGCTTAAAGACGTGTTATTACTAGGAACAGATCTTGTAATCCCAAGATCAGCTGGGGACCCAGATGTACGGAGAATAGCTGCACGAATCCTTGATGAAATAGCTTTACCAATGCGACAGTTAAAAATTGATGATACAGAGTTTGCTTGTCTTAAGGCAATAGTATTCTTCAACCCTGGTAAGGATTTTTTTGCATATTTTTATTCTAAATAATCATTTGGTAACTTTTACATTTTTGTGAAAAATCAAGTTTCGAATTATTTCAAAAATATTCACTAAAAAGTTCACTTTACCATACTATTTTTACACTTTTTTTTTGTATCTTGAACATTATGTTTTGCATGGCGCGTATAATTATCATGTTATTTTCTTGTAGCCATATTTGCCATGCATTTAATTTGTGCAAAAAATCCTCACACTTGAGGTTTCATTTCAGATGCAAAAGGCTTGGGAAATTCACAGAAGATCAAAGCACTACGATTTGAAATCCAAACGACGCTAGAAGATTACATAAGTGACCATCAATATGACTGCAGGGGAAAGTTTGGTGAAATGCTGTTATTATTACCAACATTGCAAAGCATTGCATTGCAAATGACTGAACAGCTTCAGATTGCAAGACTTTTTGGTGTGGCTAAAGTTGATAGTCTACTTCAAGAGATGTTATTAGGAGGTAAGAACAGTACAGTTTTAACATGATTTATATAAGTGTCCTGTTATATTGAACCTTCTGGGGACAAGGGAAGAATTCCTCTTTGTCCTCACCTGCAGGTGATGTGACAACAATGATTTCGTTTTCCATAATCAGCGGTGTTTTCCAGGTGCAGGGGATTAGCCCACAGCCCAACCCCCAACTGGAGGACCAGTGCAGGATGATTCTTTTGTTCGGCAGGAATATATCACTCCAGCTGACATAGCTCTAGGGGTCATAGAGACACCTAAATTGCCCCATCACAATAAGGTGGTGATACTTTCGGAACAGCCTGGGGGCCAGATAAAAGGCTCAAAATAATTTGGGTTAGAGATACCCAGGGTGAAGTTGTAGTGATGCAAGCATGCAGGATGCGGTCTCAAGCTTAAGACAGCAGGAAGTTGAGATAATGGGATTCCACCTTAAGAAAATTATGACAGCAATAGTAGCTTTTCAAGCAGCATCTCAAATTCATCATTTATTATTTTCATTTATGGGTAGCATGGAAGGCATATGCTGATTAGGCAGCATCCTTCACCACTGTGGTTCCAAAAGTTTGGGTCCCTGGCTCGAGCCCTTCCAACACCATATGTGAATTGAGGTTGTCTGATATGTTGTTCTCTCCTATGCTATGAGTATTATCTCCAGGTTCTCCGGTTTTTCCCATCTGTAAAAAGCACAAATGAGCTGAGCGTTTTGTGCATAGGACATTGAATGGTAGTGTGTACTGTAGTGGTACATTTARTGGTAGTGTGTGTGAGTGAAAAGTGTCCCCAATTAGTGCTAAAGAGCTAGAACCACTGGACAGCTAAATAAAGATATTTATTAAATTATTCCTACTGTAAGTGGTTGGACATGACTTACTGTTTTTGTTTATTTAACCTGAACTAACCCCAAAGTGAACCAACTACTTACCGACTGCTAGTGTAAGATATTAATTATTGTATTAATTTTATAGGTACGAACATAAATGAACAGTTTGATCCAACAACAATGTCTATTGCACCCTCACCAGACAGTGCATCCTCCCCTGAGGCGGCAATTACTTCGCCTCCACCAGAACATTTATTTCCAGCAGCATTTCCTGGTATGACAACAACACCTTTAACTATCACACCTGGTCTCTTCTCTTTACCAACTGAAACCACCGTAGCTGGTATAGCTAATGTACTTCCCTCTATATCAGTTGCTGGAATCCAACAACAACAACAACTTCAGCAGCATCAACAACACCCACAACAACAACCTTATCATACCGAACAATCATCAACACAAACAAGATTAAAAACTGAATTTTTGCAAGATCCTGGGTCGAACAAAAATGGTTCTTTGATCCAATGATAGAAAATACAAGTTGCTCAAAACTTTGAGAATAAGAAGCGTTATAAATAGAATGACAGGATTTTGCTAAATGAGAGATGACATTACTACGGGAAAAAAGGTTCTAAACTCTAATATTTTCATACTTTAATACAAAGAGAATTCATCATCATGATACATGTACAATACTGATTATTTGATAGATAGTGAATTCAATCACTTATATTCAATCATACGTTTAGTCCAGGAAGTCAAAGCCACACAGTACTTATCATAATGCATGTAGATAGCTACAGCCTTGTATAATTATTTAGGAATGCTTAGTGCCTGTCGTAGCTTAAGATTAATATTGCCTGCAATTGCTGCGGTCCATACTCTTAATAATGCTAAACAAGGAATATCAACATGTTTAAAACTCACAATTCARAGGTACAACAAGAACAGTAAAATATTTGAACACAGCAAAGTTTTAACAAAGTATGGACAATGGAGGAATGCATTTACAGTAAGGACACTCAGACCTTGAACACTTACAGTGATTCTCAATCATACGTGCAAAATTGGAACTTTTTTCAAGACATAATAGAGTCTTGGTGGACACCAATCAGAGTGTTTTCATGACATTGTCAGAAAACACAAAGCTTTTAAGAGCATGTGCCTATGGAATGTCATGGAAATGCATTGATTGACGTCCACCAAAACCTACTTCAATGGCAAATGGTATGATTTCACTCGTGTGATTGAGAAGCGCTGAAATGTTTTGTGTCACTATTTTAAAATGATTTATTGTGATCCCTTGGTGTATTTGACCTCAATTAATAAAGAGGGTTTGAAACCATAGAAATTCAGGAAATAATTACCTGGAGTAAAGATGGAAGTATTCATAGTTCAAGTGTCCTCACTATAAACTATGTAATTTTTAATATCAAAACAACAATTGGAAACAGTTGTTGCTAATGACTGTATTCAAACTAAGCTTGCAGAAAGAACTGTTTCTAATAGTTGTTGATGGCAGACAAATGTTTGCTTGTAATTTGGCGCTAATTGTAGGGACATCATAGATTCCTTGCAAGCTATTCCTAATGCAGATCAATTTGAAGAAGAAAGCAATATCATGAGAGTATGCATTCTTAGTAGCTAACGCCCTTCAAATTGAGGCACTCTAGGAATAGACCCTTTTCGAGTTCCAAATTACCACTGTGTTTCTTGATTACAGACTCATTTGCTCAGTCTAAGCCTCGAATCAGTTTCTAATTACTCGCAAATACCAACGGTAAAGTAAAGAATGCACAAGTTCAACAATACGAACACTTTGAAACTTGACGGAACTTGACTGGAAAACGTGAATATTCTTCACAACATCAAGGCTTAGCCTGAGCAAATGAGTCTGTAATCAAGAAACACAGCAGTAATTTGGAACTCGAAAAGGGTCTATTGCTGCATGGGGTCTGTATATCCCTAGGATGTGTGATATGGTAGCCAGGATATATAGATTGATCTTGTTCTTTCCCTCCTAAATTCTTAAATGTGCCATTGTGCTATAACTATAGAAATGGTGAATAACAAGTCAATAAAGACAGTAATGGCTGAAAATGTAAACATGTATTGCAAGAAAGTTTCAGACATTTTGTTGAAAAGCTTGTTTTTATGGCATTAAAGTGTTTACCAACTGAAGATAAGTTCATTCAAATCTATCAAATGAATACTAGTTATCATACTGAACAAGATCAAGTTATGTAACTATTTTTGTTGAAGTGCAGCTTTGCAAGTATATGCGGATAGAACTATGAAAGTCATGGCCATTTTGACCAAACTAGGTTTCCATGGATGACTAAATTATTGTGAAATCATAGTTTAAAAGTTTGGTGTTATATATCTTAGCACAGACAAAAGACTGTCTTAGCTTGGGTATAATGTTTTCTCATTTCAGAACACATTTCGTTCCCTTGAGAATAAATTCTTAGTTTGAGCTGTATCTCATCTGCAAGCATTAGAAATCATACTCTAGGGAATGACGTGGTCCAAGATGGGAAAACACTTCAAAACAGCCAAAGTAAAAGGGTTGATTGTACCAAAGTGTTTTCCAAGTTGAACTTCAGCAATAGCAGATATAAAACTCCTAAGTTACTTTATACAAGTCAGCATCACTTTACACCTAATTATTTGTAGCTTTTTTGTATTTAATTATCAACATTATCAACAGTTGTGCAAATAGTTTAGCTTTAATGGGATCCTCTAATGAAATTATTTTTGATATAAAGTTAAAAATGAAAGGACAATTCTTTGATTTTGGGAACCAATTATAGTTACTTTATGAAAAACTATATTTTCCCTTTTTCATATGACAAAACCTTGCTTAAGATTGCATGATAATCTGATTCAATTAGCCATTTATCATTCTTAATAATTTATTCTAAATATTTTCTTTTGTGTAACAAAGTATTAAATGGTAACTATTTTCAAAACCATTTCAATTAAAAACAGGTCTTCCTTTTTTAATTTACACATGTCATGCTGGTCGAGTTATCATCTTTCTGCGCCTTACTCCACGTTTAGACAAGTTTTCTTTTTTTATCRATTAAAAAGACTTTGAAGAAGCTTTGCTAGCTAGAGTGCAATTAATTGTAACTAATTAATTGTGGATGGAACTTTTGGGATTTTGTGGCATATAATCAACRATATGAGTGGTCAGAAATGATATGTTAAAAATATATTATGAAACTCATCAGACCATTAATTTTGTTGTTGCTAAGAAACCAATTTTATCGACAAAGATGTGAATATTTTAAAACAAAACCATCAAGTCAGACACTTTTAATTAATGCTGTCTTAATAATTATGAAACATCTCTTCCACCACTGAGTTGTTTCTCTTCATTCCTTGAATAAATTAGGAACATCTTCAATGCATTTTGAGTTTTGAAAAGGTCTGCTACGAGTGTATCTTAAAAATTTAGTTGAAAATGTTTAGTTGTTTAGTTTGAGGGCTTTTGATGAGATTAGTTGAGAAATTAAGACAAAGTATCTGATATTACAATGCATAGAAGATGACAAAGTACTTGATATCTCAAAGATGTTACAGTATACACCTTAATAACTAGAAGATGGGAGGGAAAAAAATGAATTCAATGTTGAAAGGAGTGCTTAATTTATTTAATGATTTAGTTGTTCTCATGTAATATTGACTACTGTTATATTTCTTGTATATCTTACATTTTGTATATTGTAAATACATGAACTTGTTGTTTAATAAAACTATCCAGATTTGAATAGAAAATCAGCAACTGCAATACAATAATTTTAATAATTTATTTTATACCAACAATTTACATAACATTAATTAAATTAAATACAAAGTAAAAAAAGTAAAGTAAAACGTATGGCATTCCTCGTGCAGAAATGGAGGTGCTAAATTGCAGTTCTCATATCCAATAATTTTATAAAAAGCCCCCATACCCACCTTTCCCTCACACTCCTTCACCTGCTGTTAGTCTAATGCATACCATTCTTAAATTGCAAATCAGGCACCACTCATTATTAGATGTGGGAAGACACGACTCAAGCTGCAAGGGTGGATACAGGAGGTGGTTTCAGGGGGTGGATACAGAGGTCTGATGGGGGTTGATACAGGGGGTGGATACAGGGGGTTTATCCAGGGGGTGGATCCAGGGAGTGGATACAGGGAGTGGATACAGGGGGTTGATACAGGGGGTGGATACAGGGGGTGGATACAGGGGGTTTATCCAGGGGGTGGATAGGGAGGGTTTATCCAGGGGGTTGATACCGGGGGTTGATACCGGGGGTTGATACCGGGGGTGGATACAGGGGG